AAGATTTCATTGGGGAATTGGGGGAGGGGAACAGACAAGTTGCTGTCCTTTGGTTCTTCCCTGCTGTTACTTCTTAATTGAAGAGGGACAGTTGAACAGTTCATATTTCTCTTTAAAACATGTTTTTTAAATTGAGACTGTAGATTTTTTTTTTCTCTCAAAGTGTTCCCCACCTGCAATTTTGTTCAGGACCTATTCCCTGGAATCTGTGACTATGTCACCTTACATGGCAAGAGGAACTTTACAGATGAGATTATGTTATAATTTTAAGATTAAAAAATCCCAGATGGTCCACGTGGGCCTGATGTAATCTGAAGGGTCCTGATAAGTGGGAAATGAGGCGGTCAGAGTCAGAGGTGTGTCAGTGGAAGCACAGGTTGCAGTGAGGCAATGTGAGGACACTGATGCCTTTGAGGATGGAAGGGCCCATAAACCAAGGAATGCAGATGTCCTCCTCAAGGTAGAAAAAGCAAGGAAACAGGTTCTCCCCTATAGCCGTCAGAAGGAAGACAATCCTGCCGATTCCTTGATGTTACGCCAGGGAGACACATTTTGGACTCTGGCCTCTAGAACTGTAAGATAATCTATTCATGTTGTGTTAAGACACTAATTTTGTGATATTCCCAATTACTATGTATGGGTGTAAAAGCTGAATCATGAAAAAAGCTGATAGGAAAAACCTGATGCATTTGAAATATACTGTTGAGGGAAAGTTCTACAGGTACCCTGGACTGCCAGAAAGATGAACAAGTGGGTCCTAGAGCAAAGCAGTCCTGAAACATCACGGAGGCAAGAATGACAAAACTGAAGCTGTCCTACTGGAGGCACATCATGAGACGGCAGGTTCTTTGAAAATAACAATAATGCTGAGAAAAATAGAAGACAGCAGGAAAAGGGGAAGACCAAATATGAGATGGATTGACTCCATAAAACAAGCCATAGACAAAAATCTCTACAGGAGGGAACAGGGCTGTTGAGGACAGGATGCTGTGAATGTCACTCTTTCCCAGGGTCACCAGGAATTGGAGCTGACTCAGGGCACATCACACACACACACACACACACACACACTTCATAGTAATTTGTTACAGCAGCACTAGGAAACTAATATACCACCACCACCCCAGGAAAATAAATTCCTGCTGTAGACACTCATCAATGGAAAGAAGGGAGTAAATTGGAGAGAGGAGGCAATTAGGCTAGAGCTAGTCTGAGGAGGAGCTCCTGCAACAGGAGTAGGAAGTTAGAAGCTACCCAGACAGACAGACAGGTTCATATTCTTTGTTATTCCAGAAAGAGTATGTATAATCGGCACCAGAGGGATATATTTGTGTAGCTCTTGCATGCACTGTGTCTTCTATTTTAACTATGTGCATAGTCATTTTATTTCTCCTGCGAGCCTGAAGGACTCCATGATAGCGTAGTATACATCATTATATTCCTGTCCTTTCCAGTGCCCTGTGGGAATCACACCACCTTGCATTTGTGGGGCACGTCACACTTCCTAAAGCCCTGGTGTAGCCCTTATCCATTCAGAACCTTACCACAACTCTTGTGGTGTCAGGCAAGACCAGTAGTATTATTAGTAATAATATTTCATTTTACAAAAGACTATAGCACACACATTTCTCTGACATCCAGGCCAGCCTCTTCTCGCCCTTGTCGTCCACGCATTCTATCTGCAGAGTGAATGTGATCAGCTGAGGAAGCTGAGGCACAGGCAGTTTCCCAAGGGTCCCAAGACTGAGCCCTGGTGGTCCAGAGTTACTGTGTGGACCTCCTAGGGCTGCTTCCACCTCTTCATACAGGAGGAAATCCTTTCGCCCAGCTGGTGGT